GTTGTCCATGGCGGAAGAAGGGTCAAAACCTAGTCGCTTTGCCCTTCTCTTGATAGAATTGAACCTGGCGTAGATCTCGATTTTGGAGAAGCTTACGGAATACGCTTGAATTTTTTTCCTTTTTACTCGGCATATAGGGACAGCTGCACTAATAGGCTTTTCATAGCCCACATTTTAAAGCCAGCCCAATAAATAATGACCCGGCCCAAAAATTTGGGTGGGAGTACCGTTCATTTGTGCCCTCACCATTGTATAGACTAGATTTTAACCCGTGTGATGCACAGTAAAAACACTATAATATTAAATTATATACAACATTAACGGTATTATATGAGACATTTTTTTCTTCTTTGCAATTTAAAATTATTAATCTTTATCGATTTGTCAAAATAACCACATATTGCATAAATAAGTTTTTGCATTACATGTATGTTGCACAGTACATAATTCCGTTTACATTAAAATGTGAAAAATGATAATGTTGATTGATGAATCTTTGTATCAAAGGATAGATACATATGTACAAATATAACATTATGTATAAATAAAAGTTTTATGGTATTTTATCACAAATAGTAGGCAAATTCTTTTGTGGTATACAAATAAATAAAATAAAATACATGCCATCTTTCTCAAATTAAAATATTTCATTTATTTAATTTTCAAAAAAAATAATTTTTTTTAGAAAATGTTACAAAATAATCAAAATTTAAAAATGAAATAAAATACACTGACCTGATACCTGATCTTGATCTTCAAACTATCTCCTTTAATTTGCAAAAGCTCAAGTTGAAAATTTACTGATTTGCTGCATGCGAAGTTTGGAGGTGCTTTTCAGATGCTTCAAAATAGAAATAGTGAAAAAAGTTAGAAATATAAAACTAAATAAAATATTTAAAAAATGGAGGAAGAGTAAGACCAGTAAATTGCTCTTATTTACTCAATCATTACTTCTACTTCAAATGAACACTTTCTGGACATGACTCCATTCCGAGCAACATCAAGTGCTCCATTCACCATCATTGTTCCCTTCCACATAAGGAAAAAAATTGATGCAAAAAATTTAAAGTAGAATCTAAAAATTATTGGGACTTCATCTATTTTATCACAATTTGCAAGTAAATTATAGAAACAGGATCTCTAATCTGTCGATGAAATTTGGGGAGGAAGCCATCTATTTTGGAACGTGGCTATCTTGAAGTCGCAAACTGAGAAAGTCGAGATGCAAAGACCAAGGAAGAAGAAGAAAAATAGACCTTTTCTAGGGCAGTCAAATGTGGAAGAGAGATTCAAGATCGTCGATCGTCTTTCTAGTCGTCGGTTATGTTAGGATCGAAACCCTAGCCCGTCGTTGTCACCATCCTCGACAACGTTACTCTCTCTCTGAGTTGACTCCTTTTTGGCGCTAGGAATTTGCCTAGGCTCAGCAAGCACACTGATGAGGAAGAAAAAACCTCTCTGAAATTTGACGGATGAAAGAACGCACTATGAGCGAGCGTGATATCGTGGGAGGTTGATGTAAATGTATAATGGTGTAACTGTTCCCGCACAATTTTTCCTGCTGCGGTTGTAAATAGGAGGATATTGATGAATCATGAAGAAATAAAAAAAATTATAAATAAGGAAAGAAACAATAGAAAATGGCTAAACTAATCAATGTAAGCCAATTAAATGAAAAAGATAAGTGAAATTGAAAATATGCGAATATAGGAATCACCTGGATAGAGGTAGACAAAGGAAGAACGTCATATTTATGCACCTCTGCTTAAGACATAAGTGCTTATGGACTTCTAAGCTTCAGACAATGAGGTCTCTAAAGTTCTCTTCATTTTTCCAAGAACAATCAACCACCATTTGTAGTATCATCTTCATTCAATCCCAATCTTTCATTTTTAGATTCAAGAGTAGTAACGAAAAGGATCATGTAGAAGATATAGAAAATGGCTTTACCTCTCCATTAAATCTAAAAGCGTCTGAAAAAGAAGAAAAAAATATGTCAGAATTTTTACATCAATTTACTCTTTGCGATTAACAATTAAGAAAAACCTGGACTGAACCTAGGAATTAATCACACAAAAAATGGATTGTTTAGGGTACACTTCAAGTAAATTGATCTAAACAAATCCCGCATTTGTTTTAAGATGAAGTTACAAATTTGATGATATTAATGGATATGAAATTCATATGGAGAGATATATATAGGAGTACAAATGGCAAGAAGGTAGCTTTGAAATCTCAATTATGAAAAAAATGAAGGAATTGATGCTGAAATTTGTATGTGTTGTACTTGCGGAGTCAATGCCAAGAGAGATGATGAACAATTGCTCAACTCTTGCAAAGACAACCTCCACCATTCTCCCTCCTCTTCAAGCTTCAAGCTGCAATGTTCCTGAAAATTCAAAGCTTTTTTACTCAAGAATCGTCTCTCTCATACTCCCTATCTTATTGAATAAATCAGCGCACAATCTCCATGAGTTTTGTTTCGTTTCCTTTTCCAACGATCCTAGGCCTGATCAATTACTTCTCCATAGTGTTATGATCCGAACAAAAGGTGTTTGTTCTCATCGGATTCGCCATCTTTTCCGGCAAAACAAAGAAGTTAAACAGAGATCCACCATGCTTCACTTCCGATTATGCAAGGTATGGTTTAATTTGTATATGTGTGTCAATTTGGTTTTATGTGGAGTATTTCTTTACATAGTGATGAATTTTAATTATTGTTTCCATAACCTTCCAACCTTTGAATTCATTCTGCTATTGTACTTAGGGAAAGTCTGATTTATGATTAAACAAGTACTCCGAATGGAGGAGACTCTTATATATGTTTTCCCCTGTATCCTATTAATTTTTATTATTATTACTCACCCTATTGAAATAAAGCCCTAAATTTAGATGATGTTCAAAACTCTGGTAGTTAGGATTCGATTTTAGACATAATATACAACATTCACCTTTCAGTAGCTTTAAGATGCACTTTATTTGACCTTTTATATACAACCTGCAATTTTAGGATATTTTGTCTTACTATTTTCTATACTGCTATGCAATCCTTCTATGATGCATTCAACACTTTTCACGGGTATATTATGGTCTTTTCACTATTTAATTTTTTTAGATGAACATAAAAAAATTGTAAAATATTTAGTGTATTATAAATAACCTTCAGTGCATTAAGAAGGATTTTACAGTGCATATTCAATATACTCTAGAGTGATTTGTAAATTACGATAAGTATTTTAGTGAATAATAAGAACACTTTGTGCATATTCTATGGGCTCCATATTGATTTATAAAGCATGATGGGTATGGTTATAGCTTTTGTGGGTTTGAGCCTTGAGGTTTCAATTCTCGCAGTGGATGCATCATTTTTAATAATGTTCAAGCAGAAGATTGTCCATCGATACTACTACCTCCGTCCCGCTATGTTCGTCCAGTTTTGACTTTTGAAACTGTTCATCTAAGCACTTTGACTCATCAAATTCTCTTAATGTGTAAGCCTAAATATAGTCATGTGTGATCTTGTTTGATTTGTCTTAACATATAGATTATTAATATATAATTTCTATAATTTTTTAATATATAAATTACAAGATAAAATGGATTAAAGAAGTGTATTGGATGGTGTGCAAAAATGAAAGTGGACAAATATAGTGGGACGGAGGGAGTACTTCACAATTAAGTATACTCTTTGTTGTCAAACTTTTTTAATATTGTGCTCTTTAATCTATGTCCATTTTTCATACATGTTTCTAATTTGTCTTTTCATTTGTATAATATGTATGCAATTTGAGCATAGGTCGATCTTGATGTGCTGGTTCTTGGAGTGTGTTTTCTAAATTAGTATTTGTGTGGGTTTGCTAATGATTTTTAATTAACTACTTATAGCTTTCCTAAACATATAGTTCATTACCCAATGTTTGATGTTTTTACCTTCTACATGAGTAGTTGATTTTTTTGCTTTATTTGTTTATATAAGCACATGGTAATGCATTTTTAAGTTGAAACTTTTGCACGTAGTCACATAACAGGGTCATCATATTGCCACCCCTCTTAAAATTCCTCTTAATATGTATCGATTAATCTTCATTAGCTTTCTGTTTTTTCTATGCATCTATGAGAACTTGATCTTACATATTTAATTAAACACATAATTATGCACTTTGTGAATGTAAATTATTTTCTCTTATATTGTACTTACCAAGATGATTTAGTGTTCCCTTTGTGAATTCTCATGATATACAGGATTAATGTCTACCTGGTTCATCATTTTTTTATGTTAAATAGTTCGATGAAATGGTACCAAAAGAGGACATGATTCTTTACAAGTTGAGAGTGTAATGACTTTGAGTATGCAAACTAAGCTAATATAGATCCATATGTGTTCCAGATTCTATGATGAAGCTAAGGTACATGCATACAAAGATGAAGCCAAATAATTTACAGATCCAAGTAAATAAGAAGGCTATGCAACTGTTCAAGATCAGGATGCATACCAAAATGGAGTGGATGCATTAATAACCTGAAGACTTTGAAAACACTCATGTTTAATTTAGTAAATTGAAAAGTATTACTTGTATTCTCAAAATTTTTGTGATAGATTTTTATTGTACTTGTTGGTTCCAAGAGTTGGGAGATTTATTTTGTTAATGTTGGAAATAATTTTTTCTCAATATGTTCTTGAGATTTTAACTTTTTGGAATACGAGTTATTTAATACTCCCTCCATCCCATATAAAACTTCCCATTTGGAATAGTCCCCCAAAATAAGGAGGGGATATTTTGGCTTTGACTTGCCCAAAATACCCCCCAAATATCTCCACTTCCAAACAGGGTCGTCCCCGTCAGGGCATCGAAGGAGGGTCGTCCCCAAGGGCCCCGCCGCCCTCTGCCGCAGGGTCGTCCCCAAGGGCCCCGCCGCCCTCCGCCGCAGGGTCGTCCCCGTCAGGGCATCGAAGGAGGCGTCGAACGCCGCCACCGCCAAAGAAATCGGAAAAGGGAGGAGGGATTTGGTGGGTGGAGGGGAAGATATCCAGAAAAAAATTGAAAAGGGAGGAGGGATTTGGTGGGTGGAGGGGGAGAGATCCAGAAGAAGAGATCGGATAAAACGCCGCCGCCGCCGAAGAGATCCAGATCCCCAAATTTTCTCATCCCCAAATCTCCTCATCTGCCGCCGACTTTTCATCGATTCAGAGAGCCCAAATCTCCTCATCTGCTGCCGACTTTTCATCGATTCAGAGAGGAGAAGAGATTTAGAGATTAGATCTGAGAGAAGAGGAGGGGAGAAGATGAGAGGAAGTCTTGGAATTGGAAGGGGTGAAGAGAGAAGAAGATTAGAACGGATGGGGGGTGGGTTAGGTTAGATTTGGTTAGGGTTTGGGATGGAGGGGTATAATAGACTTTTAATGACAAATGGGAAGTTTTTTTTGGGACGAAAAAAACGAAAGGGGAACTTTTTTGTTGGACGGAGTAAGATTTATTTATTGTCATTCTAGTAATTGGATTGTTTTTTTAAAATTTAAAATACAAGAAGCAAACACTGGTTCACATTAAGCACTTTATCCTCGTGGGCTAATGCCAGCTATAAGAACATATTTTCAACCTTAAATCTAGGATAATATAAACAATATTAAATTAGATACTCAACAACACAATTGGTGCATTTCGGATGCAAGTTTCGTGCATTTCGTTTGAAGGATTGGTGCATTTCAACAATAAAACAATAGTATAAACAAACAAAGAATAAATGCATACAAGAAATAATAAAATGTGATTTAAAATTTTTAAAGAAGAAAGAAAATGAAGGGTATTAGATTAAATGCAATAGATTAAGAATGCCTCGAACAAAGTGCATCAGATTAAATTACTAGAAAATGCATGTACATTTTTTGATAAAACTGAAAAATTACATCCAAAATCCAAGTGCATACAGAGTTACACAGCATGCCCTAAAAAATCAACAAAAGCAAAAACACATACAAAGCCAACGACGAAACTAATCCCCAAATAGAATGACTAAACCAATGCTCCATGGCGACAAAACTGAACAGGACATGTCTGAGGTAGGGGCCGGGTGCCACACAAACTTGCATTCACATTTATACATCCTGCCCTATTTAGAAAATGTATCACTTTTTAAATACATTATTGCACCAAGTCTAATAAGTAGATCTTTTTTCTAACATAAAACTAAAATTCAAGAAGAAAACATTGGTTCCCATTAGTGTTTGAACATATTGCACTGTTAAATCTAATCCAATATAATAAAAAACACAATACTGAATTTAAGCCAACCAGCAACACATATGATGCATTAGTGTGCATTTTTAGTGCATTATGTGCGCACATTTGGTGCATTCTGTAAACAAACACATATTATAAACAAAGACTAAATGTATCATTTAGATCAAAGAATACATTATTCTCTAAAACTCTTACATGCCAAAGAAAACAAAGGGCATCAGGTTAAAGGCATCAGGATCTATGAAAAAGGGTATTCAATCAAATTATGCTAGAAAGTAAATTGATGTATATGGGAAAAGCATATGCAGCATACATCATGCCCTATTAAGAAAATTTCAAGAAGATGCTTTTCATCTATTGTTGCACATATCATACGATGTGTTAAGAACAGAGGGATGCAGAATCCGACATAAGGGGATGCAACAAAAACACCACTGGGTGCCTTCGTCATCGACATAATGGGATGTAGAATGTTCTGGTGTTACTGCACAATTTTTTCCTCCATTGTCGTCATCTTGTTTTTTCCAGTGTTGTTGAAAGAATGCAAAGATCTATGGAGTAAAGGGCAAAATTCCAAGAAAAAAGGGCAAGAGTCGTGCCTAAAATCTAAATGGTACTGGGCACTTTTTCCTAATTTACCCTTGTCAACCGTTGAAGCCTATTTTAATGCATGTCTTATTGGACTTTCCATCTAAAGGAAAATAAAAATTAATGCACATACGCCTATCATCATCCGACCGATCTTAATCATCCAACTACCGGGATTCATTCTCATTTCTTTCACCAAATTTCATTCTCACAGGAACCGGCCCTATATATATATACATACATATATATATATATATATATATATATATATATATATATATATATATATATATATATATATATATATATATATATATATATATATATATATATATATATATATATATATATATATATATATATATATATATATATATATATAT